GATGTCATTTTGGTGCTTAGAGAATGATAAAAGAAAATTACCAACTGAATAGATTTCCACTATGAGAAAGCAATTGTAATTCATACACTTAAATAAGAAAATCCTATTTTGGGAAGAGAAAAGAAAAAAGGATAAATTCATGGGCGGGTTAGAACCAGCCAGCTGCTTTATGTGCTAAAAATAGTTTTGCCTTTGGAATCAGCTTGTTGGGGAAATGTTCAGAAAAGATGGTTAGGTTAGGTCTTTCCTATCTCAAAATAAATACATTATTCTTGTCCCTAATCTTCCCATAGTTTTTACACTATCCTTTTTACAACCCAAGTTAAAAACAAACAAACAAAAAGGCATCTTAAGGACTATATCTCCTATTTTACTCTTTAGTGACTGCAGTATTCTGACTTTTGCCTCTTTTCATTGAAACTGCTTTTCTTAAAGTTACCCTTAATCTGATTGCTAAATCTGGTGGACTATAGCCTTTCCTGACTGACAGCTTTTCAAAGCATCTGTGAATGTTGATCATGCCTTTTTGTTTCACTTTCTTTGATACTTTCCCTCTGACTATTCTTACTTTCTCCATCTGTTCACTGAAATGTCAGTGCTCCTAAGGTTCTATTCTTCACCTTTCTCTCTTCACAGTTTAGGTGATCTCCATGACTTTAATCACTATGTCTCCCAAATCTTTTTCTTTCTGTATTTCTCTTTTGAGTACCAGGTTCATATTACCAGAAGCTTGTTAGCTATCTATACCAGGATGTTCTAGGGCCACACACACAGAGCACCTTCCCCTCCTGTCTTGACAAACGGCATGACATCTCCCAGTGGCTAAGCCCAAACTAGCTATCATCCCCAACTTTTTCCTGTCTCCTTTTTGATGTCATTAATTACCAAGCTCTAACATTTTTTTCACATTTCCCCACTTTTTTATTGCTGTATTATGAGTGTACAAAATGATGAGATTTGTTGTTATATATCCACACATGCATACAGTGTAACAATATAATTTGGCCAATATCATTCCCTAGCACTTGCCCCTTCCCTCCCCATCTCACACTCCTTGGTCCCTTTCCTCTACTCATCTTCCTTTGCTTTTTATGTGATCACCTCCCTCTTGCCCCCATTTTCTTTCCTTTCCTCTCTAGCTTCACATATGAAAGAAAACATAACAACCCTTGACCTTTAGTTTGACTTATTTGCCTAACATAATGCTCTCTAGTTCCATCCATTTTCCTGCAAATTACATAATTTCATTTATCTTTATGGTTGAATAAAACTCCATATTTTTTATCCATTCATCCATTTTTAAGGTTTATTTTTTAGTTGTAGTTGGACACAGTATCTCTTTTTTTTTTAAGTTGTTGATGGACCTTTACTTTATTTATTTGTATGTGATGCTGAGAATCAAACCCAGTACCTCGCACATGCTAGGCAAGTGGGCTACCACTGAGCCACAACCCCAGCCCTGGACACAATATCTTTATTTTATTTATTTATCTTTATGTGATGCTGAGGATTGAACCCAGGGCCTCGAATTTTTTAGGCAAGTGCTCTACCACTGAGCCACAACCCCAGCCCATTTATCCATTGTTGATTCCGGAGTTTGGCTATTGTGAATTGTGCTGTTGTGACCATGGGTATGCGTGTATCTCTGTAGTATATTGACTTTAATTTTAAGTTCTATCAATTCTAAAGTTCTAAGTGGTACCCTGCAAAAAAAAAAAATTATTTTTTGAAAATAAAAGTATAAGACATCATTGTATAATTTGTGGATTTTAAAAAAAAATCCTTCTTCTTAACTCCTATATGTAATTGATAACATTAAAGTTCTAAACTTTATAATTTAAAAACTTGTTTCTTGAGTATTCATTGGTGCTATGCAGTATACTAGGCATCTTATTGTATTTTATTTCGTTCCATTCTATTCCTATTCCATTTCCAATCCTGGGGGTCAAACCCAGGGCACAAGTAAGTCATAGTTACTTTTACCAGATAGTTGGTATCATTCCTTTTCACTCCCCACAAAAGCTTGTGTTTATCTTCATCTGTCACTTGCCTCTTCTGTCTTCCTGTCTATAGACTATGAACTCCTTGAGGTCAAGAACCATATTGTGGGGCTGGGGTTGTAGCTGAGTTGGTAGAGCATTTGCCTTGCATGGGTTCCCTCCTCAGCACCATACAAAAACAAATAATTAAAATAAAGGTATTGGGCTGGGGATGTGGCTCAAGTGGTAGTGTGCTCGCCTGGCATGTGAGGGGCGATGGGTTCTATCCTCAGCACCACATAAAAATAAAATAAAGATGTTGTGTCCACCGAAAACTAAAAAATAAATATTAAAAAATTCTCTCTCTCTCTTTAAAAATAAATAAATAAGTAAAGGTATTGTGTCTGTCTACAACTAAAAAAAATGTATTTTTTTTTTAAAAAAAGTACCATATGGTGATTCTAACTTCGATTTCTATATAATAAAGAAGGAGAGGGAAAGAAGAGATAGAAAGAAGGGGAAAAAGGAAGAAAGAAAGGAAATGAATGAATGAATCCACCCGTTAGTGTATAAAATTATTAGGTAGTTTAGTTTCGCTTTTATTACCTTCATTTTTAAAAGGCAATAATGAACTGCTTCTTTATCAACATTAATCTACCATGCAAAAAAGCTGAAATGACATTAGTGGTGAGAGTTTAAAATTACTAATATTAACTCTGAAGATAAATTGCTACATTTGTTTGCTATCCTAAAGAAGAGCTGTACTTAATCTGTTAGTTTCTAATTGCTATAAGTAAAATGCTAAATCAACTTCCAAATTAACACCGGAGTATATTTATGTGGCTCTTTCATCCTTATTAATTATTAATGTTCTTTTTATTGAATGTTGCAGATTTTTCAGATATTAAGTGTATTGTTTCAAGTGTGTCTATAGCTCCTTCACTTTTCCAGCCTTCTCTAAAGACAATGTGAGTCCACTTGTAGTACATTGTTGAATTAACCCATACTCAGCTCCATTCAGTCCCCTTACTATTTCAAGAAAATGTCTAGTAAAGAAAAAAATAACAATCTTATAATGCTTTGATGATATTATTATTGTGCATTTTTACAGATATAATTAAAAATTCCTTCCTATGTAACAATTAGTTGGTGATAAAATATCACACCTGGTTAACTGATGACTGTGAGCTTTGTAGCTACAGAGGATCAAAATGAACTGAAGTATATCACGTACTTCTCATCCTACCACCATTTTCACATAATTATTTGAACTGTACCACTATTCTTGTTTGTTCCCCTCAAACATTCCAACCAAATTTTTAGAAGGAAATCCCCCCTAAACTTTTAAACCACCAAACAATATATATGTAATAACATATGCAGGAGAATAGGGGCAGGGGATTTCAGAATTTTTCTAGTAGGCTAGAAGTTATTCATGTATTCTTTTATCCTGAATGCAGAATAATAATTTTTATTAGGGCAAACAGTTTAGAAAACTTGTCTCTTTCATTAATAAGTTTCTTCATATATTCTAATCCTGTTTGCTATCCAGCATGGCAAAGTACGTGTTTCAGCATAGCAGAAGCACTCTGAAGAATTGAAAATAAGCCAGGTGTGATGGCACACACCTCTAATCCCAGCGGTTTGGGAGGCAGAGGCTGGAAGATTGTGAGTTCAAAGCCAGCCTCAGCAATTTAGTGAGGCCCTAAGCAACTCAGTGAGACCCTGTCTCTAAATAAAATACAAAATAGGGCTGAAGATGTGGCTCAGTGGTCGAGTGCCCCTGAGTTCAATCCCTGGTACCTTCCACCCTACAAAAAATAAAAAAATTAAAAATAAAAGTATAAGACATCATTGTGTATCTTGTGGATTTTTAAAAAAATTCCTTCTTCTTAACTCCTATATGTAATTGATAGCACTAGAACTACCTGCTAGGAACATTCCTACAAGTTTGATCCATGTCTGACTATTGAGATGGTTCTTCATAAACCTTAACTTTTCAAGGAATGCAAAGTGGGAAGGAAAAAAAGATTCTTTCTTGACAAAGTCAGTTTATATTGGAAAGGCCAGAATTTTTTTTTAACTACCAGAAATTTACTATCAGTTTTTCTCACTATATTTTTTTAACTTAGAATAGATAATATATGAGTGCTCAGCATAGGTCCATGATAGAGGGCCTGCCAGGAATTAGTGCAAGGTCAAGCACCACCATAAACAAACAAACAAACAAACAAAAAACACTTTAAAAGCAAAGCTGGACATGGTAGCACATGCCTATAGTCCCAGCTACTCTTAAGATTGAAGCAGAAGGATCACTTAAGCCCATAAATTTGAGACTATCCTGGGCAACAGACATTCCCTCTTAAAACAAACTAAAACACCAAAAACCTAAAGAGCAAACAAAAAAAGAGTGCAAAGTAAGATATTTCTTTGTTACTATTAGTACAGAATACACAGCTACAGGCTACTCAAAGCACTATGGTAGTTAAACTGGTGTTATTTCAGATGCACAGGTCAAGTTAATGCAGGTGCTTGCTTAGGTTTTAAACAAATCCAGATTACTCACTTGAAATGGCAAAAATCCAAGGCTGAGCTTTCCTCAGAAGAGAAGTGGGTCAGAATGTAATAACAGAAATTATTATGCATAATAGTGAAGAATTTAACAAGCAACTGCTACTTGTATTAGGCTACAGAGTAAGTGTATATCACATCAGCATTACCAGGCTTCTTAAATAAAAGAAATAGTCAATGGTTTTTAATAATTATTATATTTTATGATTTATAAGTCAGATAAACGATTTTTAGTTTAATGTCATCTTTTGTTCTAGGATTTCTAATTACTTGCTGAGATACACACTGGTTACTGAAGAAGCTTCTGTGACTTAAATTGTGTTTATTCTTTGAAAGTGAACTCTCATCTTTCTAACTCCCAAGTATTAGTGAAATAAAGTGAGCAAACTTATACATTGATAATTCTTTGATTTTGAATCTAGCATTTCATTCATTTTTCTTTGCTTACAGAACTTCCTTATGGCTGGGAGAAGATAGAGGACCCTCAGTATGGGACATACTATGTTGAGTAAGTTTGTTATCTCAGTTAATGTTCTCTCAGATGTTCTCCTTTCAGCATACACTTTTAGGGAATACTAGATATAGCACTTCTTGCTTCTGTGAATCTAGTGTGTGCATGTTTCAGCTAGTGCTCAATAAATGAGCACTTACTTCACTGACCTCGAACCTCCCAGAAATTGGCTTTGAATTTCTAAATATAGAAAGTAAGAGGTGGAAGCCTGGTATGTGCCTGTAATCCCAGCTCCAGAGGAGGCTGAGGCAGGAGGATCACTTGAACTCTGGAATTTAAGACCAATCTGGGCAACATAGTGAGATCCTATCTCAAAAAGAGACAGGTTGCTTTGAGGGTTAGTTGCTGGAGATAATGTCATTGCTTCTATACCTTTAAAGAGAAAAGCAGTAGATAGAAAACTGAAATGAGGGCACTGGATAGAAGAACTCTTGAGGTCACTTCCAACACTACCAGTGTGTATGCTCCTGAAAACAATTAAAGGACTTTAAGGGCATGGTAACATCAGGATCCAACATTTTGAAATACACAATTAAAAGTGTGTTCTCCTTTGAGTTAATAAAAGAAGGCTTAGTATTTTTTTCAGGGGTGAACGTTGCTTCTTATGTAACTGTTACGGTTAAGTATAAATGTGTGTCAGAGAGGAGCACAAAACACCTGCATGTTATCCAGAGAAATTAGACCAGTGTCACAACTGATTTTTCTTTTTCTGATCACTACATTGTTACAACCATTAGAATAGCCTTCTTTCCCAAATGCTACAGATAGGATTTCAACCCTAGGTGTCTTGTATCAACAAAAATTGTATCAGGAACATAACTATTTACCTAGAACTCAGAGTCTGAACCTACTGCCTGAGTGGCGAAGGCAAAAATGATATTTTCACTTGGAAAAATAACAAGCACAAAAATCTAGGTTGTTTCAGTTTGTTTTGTTGGTACTGGGGATTGAACCTTCAGGTGCTTTAGTACTGAACCACATACCCAGTACTTTTTCTATTTCTTTATTTTGAGACAGAATCCCATGAGGTTGCTGAGGCTGGCTTCAAACTTGTGATCCTCCTGCCTTAGCCTCCTGAGTCGCCGTGATTACAGATGTGCACCACTGCACCTGTGTAAAATCTTCTAGTTTTATGAGTGCTTTCTAATTTTTCAACACTTGTTGACATAGAACAATGCCATTTCCTGGCAATTATTCCTAAAGTAAGATCTCTGGCTTTTACTGTAGTCTTTAAAATATAGGTCATTACCGAGTCACTCTGGTTAGAGAGATTTTTGGATTTCCTTAAAATCCAATATGTATCCTAAGAAAGCAACTCAATTAGATTGACCTTTAGGTGTATAACTTCACAGTTGCAGCTTGTTGGTTCTTTTCAATAGCTATACTGATTTTCTTTCCATTGTGTTACTTAATATGTTGATGATACTGATGAAATGTGATATGAAGAGTATACAGCAGCTCTTTTGTTATTTTTTCTAAGGCATATTTAGTTTTAAAAAAAGGAAAAAAACAGCTGTCTTTCAAGTCAAAGGGGTATTTGAAAGCCAACTGAAAAGGCTTTATGGAATTTTTTTTCTTCCTCTTATAGTTTAGCCTATTTAAATTGGGCTTCAATAAACTATTATTTGCCATTGACACTGCTGAACATTTCTGAGATAATGATTCTCATTATTAGCCATTCCAAGTAAATTTGAATACATGGGCAAGAGGTGAAAGTCATTTGCCTGTTATAAAATCTTGAGATGAATGATCTTGTTCCCATTAAGCAAGAATATAATATTGAAGCAACTTTAGGGCAAATCCTGAAGTGACATGCTCCCAGTTGTCATGGAGGTACGTGGAACAGCCTGAATTAAAAGCAACAACATCAGCAGTAGCACTGAGATTTTGTGTGATTATTCCCAGAATGAGCTCATTTACAGGAAGATAATTTATTAGATTAAGAAAGAGCAGACAGTACTCAAGATGCACATTAGTATGGAGTCAGCTGAGCTACAGAGTGTGGCTTGATTCCCAGATGAGCTACATTTTGAATCTCAACTGTAGTAATCTGCAGTGAGTTTACTGATGGAGATAAAAAGCTGTTACTTGAATGGCTACTCTTTGGCTCTCTTACTTTGTCAAACCAGATGGCACAATGATTGCTTTTGGCAGGAGCCTTTGAGGAGTAACAACAACTGCAATAGCATTTTTTTTTCTACGTGAATTTTTATTTTAAAGGGTGATATTCTGAAATGGATTATTTTTTTAAATGAATTTGTTTCAGAATTTAATGATAGGACTTTACAAAATATTTACATATTTAAAAATCTTGGCTTTATTGTATCATATTAAAGGCGTCTTGGGCTGGGATTGTTGGCTCAGTGGTGGAGTGCTTGCCTAGCATGTACGAGGCACTGGGTTCGATTCTCAACACCACATATAAATAAATTAAATAAAGATTCATCAACAATTTAAAAAAAAATTTTAAAAAGGCCTCTGATATATATCTGGTTTCTTATCTCAAATTCTTCATGAATTTGTTGAGATAAATTTCTAAAATCTAGATATTAGACACAAAATTGTGATACAGATATTCCAAATATATATTATATGTTTAATTATGCTTATCTGCAACCCTTATTTAATTTTTCTGACAATCTATGATATTCTTTCTTAGGAAGAAAATTATTTATGGAATATCTCTAACTCCCTGGCTAATTATACGGAAAACAAAATCTGTTACATCTTATTTGTTTGTTACATCTTAATAATATGTGTATATAAGTAACTAAATGAAAAGGAGAGTATTTTCATTTTTTGTTTTGTTTTAGTCTGAATAATTTAAGGTAACAGATGCACTTAACTTTCTTCATTAAGTCTTCTATTCTTTTGTCAGAGAATTTTCAGGAAAAAGATTTATCATATGCATACTTCTACCCTCTTCTCCCACACATTACAGAGGATATAAATACAAAACACTACTTTTTATGGTCTAATGCCTGGGTGGCAAAATGAGTCATTCTAGATAATAATGTTAAAGGGAGCCAAGGGTTCTTTCTAAACAGATTTGTTCTTTTCTGAGTGTCAGTCTTTAGTTTGTTTGGTTTTTTTCTTAAGAATATGTAAAATGTCAGTACCCAGTAATTTTTTTAAAAACCTTAGATTTAATAAAAACCTAAGAATTTCATTTTCACAGAGGTTTCAACAGTTAACTTAATGTGCCTCTGTTAGTTTGAGGCAGAAGCATGCTTAAGCTTTAGTGAAATTGGAACCCAGAGGATCTCCAGTGGAACTTGCCATATTTAGAGTTCTGAAATTAAACAGCCACATTTGTTGTGGAATTTATATGCCCTAGAAGCCTAAATGACAAAGAAACCTAACATTTTTTTCTATATGCTATTTATTTTGACCCTGCTGCCCTTTCACCACTATCACCATAATGTTCACAAATGACAAAGTATATATCTGATTTATGTAGCTATTTATATGTAGATTTTATAATAGTAAGCCTGTCCAAAAACAATAATATCCTGAAACTCTCATGATCTGATGTTTAATTGTTACCCAGTAATGTCAATTGTTAAAGTGGACTTTACTGGAAAACGTATCATTTGGCTAAAATGTCTTTGTGGCAGTGCTAAATATGGTTCCCATTATTTCTACGTTAGACCTAATAGTTTTACACATATTTTTATTAATTTATTTTTTAACATCAGTGTGTTCACTTAACTGACTCTCACTGTATTCCCTGTGTAAAACAACTGCTGCCCATGGAATGTTGAGTTCTATTGGCTAATGACCTGCCCTCTGGTCTTCCCACATCCTTCTACTTTCCCTCAGATTTCTCTGCTTTCCAAGAGTCAGTTGGGACTGTTCCTGATCATAAGTGCTAGTTAAACTTATCTTGTACTCATAAAACTAAATTATTATATAACTGTGAAGAAATGTAAGTGTAAAAGGAAAGAGTTATTCTATAAGGCAGTGTGATAAAACAAAGTCATTTTTCTTAGTTGCTACTGAATTGACGTGGGCAAGTGATATGCTATGATATTCTTCAAAAAGTTCTTCAAAAGTATCTCTACAGCTTGCTTCATTTTGGAGAAACTTAAAACCCTACTATCATTAACTTCCTTTAAAAAAATTTTTTTTAACTGACCAATTTACCAGCACTTTTTATTACATTTGGTAAGGTTTTTAGTGGAGTTTCGACAGTTGTTACTCATTATATTGACTGGATTTACCGAGAAGCTACAGTTAATGTGTCTCATAAGCTTCAGTAGCTTTGACTTCCAGGTTCCTTCTGCGGGCCTTTTTATCTCTGTCAGTCTCTCTGTGTTCTGTAACCTATTGAATACATACATATCAATCTCTTAATCTATGGTGACAAAATGGTATGATGGTCTATTTTAAAATATGTAATTTTCTCATATTTTTCTTCATTTTATAGTCACCTTAACCAGAAAACCCAGTTTGAAAATCCAGTGGAGGAAGCCAAAAGAAAAAAGCAGTTAGGACAGGCTGAAATTGGGTCTTCAAAACCAGGTAAAACTTTGTGTTTGAACTATTCTTCTAAAAATCAATTGTGAAATTTGTGTGCTGAGTTAATAAAAATGAGTTTGAACTTTTCATTGCTAGGGCTTTGAAATTGAACATACAGTGTCTAATTGTTGCCACTAAAAAGATATGAATAGTCTTAATAAAACATCTGAACATTGTGAGAATACTGAGATTTTTCTCATGACTGTATAAAAAAATATGAAATTATTGGAAGGAATGGAGAGATTTTTTTATTAATTTGAGGTTTGAATTTGAAGATTAGATTATTTCTTTATGTTTAAGGTCACACCCAAGATTTCTAGTTCATTATGTGCTTCTCCCAAGCTAATTGCTTAAATATAATGTCTGTAACCATTCAGAATCCTGCATTAATTAGTATTAATTAGCATCTAATAAGTCTAAGAAATTCTTTGCCTACATCATATTCTAGTAGGATAATGATGTAGGTAGATATTAGTAATATCAGAATTATTTGGGGGGCATTTTAAAAATACACAAAGTCTTTTTATTTTTGTTTTACTTGTTTGTTTGTTTGAGACAGGGCCTGGAAAAGTTGCTTAGGGGCTTATTAAGTTGCTGAGGCTGGCTTTGAACTTTGAATCTTCCTGCCTCAGTCTTCTGAACACTGGGATTACAGGCATGCACCAACATGCCTGATTCCATGAGATCTTAATGATCCTAGTTATGTGTATTTTGAAAAAACTGTGCAGGAAATTCCTATATTTTATCCATTCCTTCTCATATCCTTCCCCTTTCTCAACTGTCATTTATAGCCAGGGGTCTATTTGGTCATTTTGTAGTAATTCAGTGAACTCCCTACTTGGGTTGCCTATGAAAAAAATGGTTCTTTCTTGCAGCTACTCTTTAAAATCATAGACCAATCTCTCCTTAAGTTTTGCATATGCTTTAACAAACATTTTGAGTTTAACAAATATTTTTGAGTGTTACTATATGCCTGGTAGGGCTTGCTAGTCACTGGGTTTTCAAAAATGATGGAGATTAAGACAGGTCTCACCATTAAGAGATCATAGTTTCTTATACTAATGATTATAGCCTGGGGTGATAGGTGCTATTCATTTAACTATTCATAGTAGTTAAATGTGTAGGCTGAGGAGTAGTTTTGAAATTCATCTGTGTAATCTTGGATAAATTCCCTAAATCCTTTGTGCCTCTGTTTTCTCATTTATAAAGTAGGAATAAAGCTAGGAATGGTGGCACAGGCTTGTAATCTCAGCAACCCACAATGCTGAGGCAGGAGGATTACAAGTTCAAGGCTAACCTCAGCAACCTAGTGAGACCCTGTCTCAAAATAAAGGGGACTATGGATATAACTCTGGCAAAGCACCCCTGGGTTTAATTCCCAGTATCTAAATAAATAATATCTGCCTCTTAAGATGGTTATAAATATATAAATTAATGCATAAAAATGTTCATAAACATTTGTGAGGCACTGGGTTTGATTCTCAGCACCACATATAAATAAATGAATAAAATAAAGGTCCATCAACAACTAAAAAGAATTTTTTTTTAAGTTTATAATATTTGGGCTGGAGTTGTAGCTTAGCAGTAGAGCGTTGCCTTGTACCTGTGAGGTACTGGGTTCAATTCCTAGCACCACATATAAATAAGCAAATAAAATAAAGGTCCATCAACAACTAAAAAATATGTTTTAAAAAAAGTCTATATATTTGGCTTGTGGCTATCAATAAATGCTTTTATTGTTATTAGTAGAAATGTACAGTATTCACTTCTTATCTGCTGGGATATCTTCCAAGATCCTCAGTGTATGCCTAAAATCATGAATAATACAAAACCTTATATATATGCTAATAATACACACACACACACACACACACACACACATGCCTTTGATGAGCTTTCGATTTCTTACTTAAAGGAAGCCCTGTGGCTTCTCTTTGACATATACAAATCACCAGCATCACTACTCTTGTTGCTTTTGAGATCATTAAGTAAAATAAGGGTTTTTTGATGACAAGTACCTTGACTTCATGAGAGTTGATCCGATAACCCACATGAATAGTGTAGACAGCATAGATATGCTGGACAAAAGATGATTCGTGGGGCTGTAGCTCAGTGGTAGAGCATCGCCTAGCACAAATGAGGCACTGGGTTCGATCATCAGCACTACATAAAAACAAATAAATAAAAAATAAAGGTTAATTTAAAAAAAAAAAAAGTTGATTCATATCCCAGGTGGATGGCATAAGATTTCATCATGCTATTCAGAGAGTCATGCAATTTAAAACATGAATTTTTTATTTCTGGAAATTTCTATTTAATATTTTTGATTTATAGTTGACTGTGGATAATTGAAACCACAGCAAAGCTATGATAAGAGGAAACAACTCTAGGGTGAAAGAAAGTAAGCACAAATAAGACAATTAGGAGAAGAAAAGGTAGGTGGTTTCCTATAAAAGAAAGGGATTCATTAGCTATTATTTCAATGATTTAGTTTATGAGCTTAACTGCTAGTTTTCTGCATTAGGTTTGCTCTGATTTTCTATCCTTTATGGTTTCCTTGAGTTATATAGACTATCTTGAAAATTGGCTTTGTGTGTGATGTATATTCATCATAATTATTTTTGTCCTCAAACCCATTTCTTGTTTTGGCCCAGATGTGGAAAAATCACACTTTACTCGAGATCCATCCCAACTTAAAGGTGTCCTTGTTCGAGCATCACTGAAAAAAAGCACAATGGGATTTGGTTTTACCATTATTGGTGGAGATAGGCCTGATGAGTTCCTACAAGTGAAGAATGTGCTTAAAGATGGTCCTGCAGCCCAGGATGGGAAAATTGCACCAGGTAATGAGTTTGTCAGAATCACTTGAAGAGCAGTGATACTATAACAAATATTATAGCAAAGAGGATGGAGATACACACACATACACACACACACACATATACACAGTGAATTATAGAACTAAAGAAGATTACTGTATTAAAATGTTTAGCCTCAAAATTAGAAGCATGCTAGCTTGAGGGAAGGCTATTTTTAAAAACAAGCAGATATTATTAGAGGAAACATTAAATTTATTAATTTTTGGAATATTTTGTATAATTTTAAGATAATTCGTTGGTTATACAAAACTACAGTTTTATTAACCATCTCAGAAAACCATTTGGACATTTGATTTTCTTTGATTATGTAGAGTACTTTTGGAGCTAGGATTTGCTTATAATTGTTTTTGAAAAAAGGTTCTTTGTTAAAAAGGTTATAGTGATAACAAATTGTTATATCCTGCAGTTTTTGTTTTTTTGGGGGGCGGATACCAGGGATTGAACTCAGAGGCACTTAACCACTGAGCCACAGTGCCAGCCCTAGTTTGTATTTTATTTAGAAATGAGGTTTCACTGAGTTGCTTAGTGCCTTGCTTTTGCTGAGGCTGGCTTTGAACTCATGATCCTCCTGCTTTAGTCTCCTGCCTCAGTCTCTTGTGCTGCTAGGATTATACAAATGATTATAATACTGTAAAATCAGGAAAACAAAATTAATTTTTTTTAAATTTTTTAATATTTATTTTTTAGTTTTCGGCGGACACAACATCCTTATTTATATGTGGTGCTGAGGATCAAACCCAGTGCTGCGCACATGCCAGGCGAGCGCGCCACAGCTTGAGCCACATCCCCAGCCCAAAATTAAATTTTATAAAGACTAATTTAGCTGACTTTTCAGTGTTTTAAATAATACAGTCATTTTTTGTGTTGAATTTTTTGTTGTGGCTTCCACTTTTAAATATCTGATTTATAATAAATTCAGAATCTCTACAAATAGAAGGACACTAAAAGAAAACACATTCAGGGCTGGGGTTGTAGCTTAGTGGTGGAGTGCTTGCCTCACATATGTGAGGCACTGGATTCCATCCTCAGCACCACATAAAAATAAATAAAGATATTGTGTCCGTCTACAACTAGAAAATATTTTTTAAAAAAGAAAACACATTTATAAGTTGACATTATTCAAATTTCAGTTTTACGTTTCTCAAATGAGAATAAATTTTTAAGTATATTTGTAATCTGTGGCCTGTTAAAATCAAGAAATAAGGCGGTAATGAAGGATAGCTTGTATGTGCAAATAGCCAGTGATGCTCCTCTTCTGTGCACTAAATACTTACCACAACATATTGAGCTTTGTGTGGCCACCTAGGTAGGACTCTGTATACAAATGGTGATAATAAAATTTGCATTTTTTTTTCCCCAAATGATTCACTTGAACTTGAAGTCAAAACTCTTTGCTGCTAAAATAATTAAGATTTTTAGATATTTATATAAATTTTTTAGTGAGAAGTCATGAGAGAGAGAATGTCTGTTAGAAATGTTATCTTTTCAGTAATTAATGAACAGTAAGGTAATTCCAGAATTCAAATTTGGTTGTTAAATTTACTTTTGCCTTTTCTCTAGCAAAAAGTTATTTTTAACATGATTATATTTTATCAGGTGATGTTATTGTAGACATCAATGGCAACTGTGTCCTTGGCCACACCCATGCAGATGTTGTCCAAATGTTTCAGTTGGTACCTGTCAATCAATATGTAAACCTCACTTTATGTCGTGGATATCCACTTCCTGATGACAATGAAGATCCTGTTGTGGATATTGTTGCTGCTACCCCTATAATCAATGGACAGTCATTAACCAAGGGAGAGACTTGCATGAATACTCAGGATTTTAAGCCAGGAGCAATGGTTCTGGACCAGAATGGAAAATCTGGACATATCTTGACTAGTGATCGTCTCAATGGTGCATCAGATCCAAATGAGCAGAGAGCATCCATGGCCTCATCGGGCAGCTCCCAGCCTGAACTAGTGACCATCCCTTTGATTAAGGGTCCTAAAGGTTTTGGGTTTGCAATTGCTGACAGCCCCACTGGACAGAAGGTGAAAATGATATTGGATAGCCAGTGGTGTCAAGGCCTTCAGAAAGGGGATATAATTAAGGAAATCTACCATCAAAATGTGCAGAATTTAACACATCTCCAAGTGGTAGAAGTGCTAAAACAGTTCCCAGTAGGTGCAGATGTACCACTCCTTATCTTAAGAGGAGGTGAGTAAAAGCATAACAAAGAAAAAAATCTTAATGTTCAAGTGTTTATATTTTTTAATTGTCCTTCTTTATAGGTTAGAATGTCTTTCCCCAGAAGATTTCACTGGTAATCCACTGATTCTGTCTGATTATTTCTATAAGCAGTATCTTTTTTGGCAGTGTTTTAGTTACTAGTGGTTTCATTTGTGTCCATTATTGATTTCTTTCCCACTGTATTCTTTTAAAAATCTGATTTATGGGTTTAATGACCAGAGAGAGCCTCAGTATTATGCTATGTCAAGTGAAACATATTCTCTTAATTTCACTTTCTCTGTTGATGAAAATAATAGAAATTGACTCTTTCAACCAGTGGTGTTTCATCTGGATTCTATAATACACCAAAAATCTTCTGAAAGAGCTCACATCTCTATGGATAAGTAAAACATGGTGTGCTTTGTTAACCTGTTCTGCAAAGGCAGTCATGATAGCTTGTGCTCAGAAAGCTTTTATCTTAAGCTCTAATGACTGCCTGTAAATGTTAATTAAACCTCACTGTGCTTATATGAAAGAGGTGAAATTTTTATTTTTCAAGGTCATCAGCTGACACAAACTGTTCCCAGGCATTATAAATCCAGTTCCAAGCACTAACCACAAAGTTGCATTTTAATAGGCTTTCTCACATCTGTACCTATAAATGACTAATATTTTAAAGAATGAAATTTAGTCCTACACTTTCTTATCACTCTGGCTTTTTAGTTAAGTTTTTTTTTTTTTTTTTTTTTAACAAATGAACACTTTATTAGCAAGTTTTTCTTTATTTTTGTTTCTTTGAACCTTTTTGTTTTTCTCTCATGGTGATATGGTAGAGTGTGCTGAAAGTCAGAAGGAAATCTCTTTGTTAGTGCTGGACAGTTATCCAGGGCTTTGACAAATATAACAAAGAAACCTGAAGTTGATGTCCAACAGGTTGATGTCATTTTCTGCCTTACTTATTGGTTCTATGGTGTAGAAAAGAATCTTAGTTTACCTTATCTGTTAAATGATAATAGCATATATGCCTTAGGATTGTTATGAAAATGAAATGAGACAATAGATATATAATGCCTGGCACATAGAAAGTGTTAGACAAAAAGAGTTTACTAGCCTGCTGGAAGTCATAGCTAGTTTATCATAAACATTAGCAGTATGTATGATCTGAGAATGCTGTTTTTAAAATTTGGCTCATTTTTTATTTTTTTAAGGCCCTTCTTCACCAACTAAAACTGCCAAAATGGTGAGTATTACAGTCGTCCTCAAGTGTTTCTTCCCTACTCAACAAGCGAGGTGTCAAATTTCTCTCTGTGAGAGCTCATGAGATGGTGGCTGGAAAGAGTCAGGATGACAAGCTGATCTCAAACTATACTTTTAGGCTATTTATTTTATTTATATATATATATAAAATTATGTAGATATGGAAATGAAGTCTATAGTTTTTAAATTCTAATTTAGTTCTGGAGTCTTTCACCTCAAAATTAAAAAAAGGTCTCTCATAACCATAAATCATACACCATTAAAGGAAAGACCATCCCATATTAAATGAATCCATTTCTTCTAGCCCACTAAGTAGGAATCCTTTGCAAATTTGCTGTTGTATGGATCAAAATGGAAGAAACACTCAGCTTCTACCCTCTCTACGAACTGTACAATCAGGTCCAGTGTGAACAGGAATTTTTGTCCATTCACTTAAAGTCACACCATATTTTTGTGTACATTTCTCTGCCTCTCTAGCATCATATTTAACTCCTATGCCACCATATCTATTAGATACCATTGCAGCCATAGTCACCCTAATGCTTTATAATTGATGGAAGGCTCTGGTGACATTGAACAACTTGTGACAGAATCCTAGGATGTGTGGGTGATGGGAGAAGGCTGCTTTCGCCTTCTCTTCCATCTGTCTGGGTGTAGGTCAGCAGGGGGATTCCCCTGTAGCATGATACTTTGTGGTGCCTGACCCCCTCACTGCCTCTTCCCAAGCTGGTGCCCTTGCCTTCTAGTCAGCATTACTTATAGAAATCTGTAATCTCCTGTCCTAACAAAAATTCCGGATGACAAGCTGATCTCAAACTATACTTTTAGGCTATTTATTAGATTTCATTTCTAAATTTATAATTTAGTCATTTTGCTCGACAATTATTTGGGGAAAGTTCTGAGTAGAAAAGGTATCAAAATAAGCTGCTCTGTTTTCCCTTCTCTGATTGATTGCTTAACATGTATTTATTTGAATTGACCAGGCAGAGTTTTCAATATCATTTTTATAACCTAAATTGGAGTTAACGCTCCCCAGTCCATTTTCTTAGGAGAAAATATTATCTTAAACATCTTCATTGGAAATTAAATTCAGTGATTGGAAGGTGGAGCTCATGAAGAATTTGATGAAGGTATTCTCTGAGGCTCCCTCTTGCTTTACTTAGAAGTGCTTCCTTGTGTTGGATTCCTATTTGTCTTCATCCCAAAGTCAATTTTTGTCTTGGTGATACAGAGAAAATGGAAAAGTTGTTTAAACATAAGACTAATTGAGGCGCTTCACTTGACATCACTATAACCCTTTTTCTAATTTAAGTTAAATATGTTTTAGCCAGATATATACATGAAATTGAATTTCATATATATATATATATGAAATTGAATTCCAAGACTGTCAATAGACTGTGCCTTTGACCCTGCCAATTATACAGCTGTACTCAGTCACTGTACTTAGTTCAGACAGCAGTTTTATGAATTAATCAACCATTTTATTTTAAAAAATACTAAGTAAGTCCCTTTTCCATTTCAGAAAACAGATAAAAAGGAAAATTCAGGAAGTTTGGAGACTATAAATGAGCCCATTCCCCAGCCTATGCCTTTTCCACCCAGCATTATCAGATCAGGATCCCCAAAGTTGGATCCTTCTGAGGTCTACCTGAAGTCTAAGACTTTATATGAAGATAAACGTAAGTAGTGATGGAATATTTCAGGAGAGAATATAATAAGATAAATTGATTTATTTTTAAACTAGAACCTTCCCATCTTTCAAAAGAATAGTAAGAAGTTATTCCTTCATTCTCATTTTAATATGACTCTCAGCTTCTTACATGTACATTCAATGTTCATTTATTTATTTTTTAAAAAACTGTGTATTGGGGCTGGGGATGTGGCTCAAGCGGTAGCGCGCTCGCCTGGCATGCATGCGGCCCGGGTTCGATCCTCAGCACCACATACAAAGATGTTGTGTCTGCCGAAAACTAAAAAATAAAATAAAAAATTTAAAAAAACAACAACTGTGTATTAATTTTTTTTTTTTTGCCAGCAGTCTAGCAGACATCACATTAGGCAATTGGAATATAGAAATAAATAGGTTACATAGGCCCTGCACCCAGAAATATTATTAAGTCTAAATGGAAAAGCCACATGTATAATCAAATAAGTACTTATATAGATAAGTACACATGAGTCTACCAGGTACAGTTATAGAAGGATCAGCTGCTAATTTGGATCCAGAATAAGAAATGGTCAGTTTTATCAGTGTGAGTGGGACACAGTAGTAGGCAAAGCTTTATAGAGGAAGTAAAGCTTGAGCTAAGACTTAAGGACAAAGAGGTGCTTATGAGGAAGACAAAAAGGAAAGACAGAAGGATTAGCATTCATTTGCAGGTTGGCCTTGTGTGGCCTGGATTCTAAGGTATGGCTGGGTGTGATTGGCAAGGGAAGCCAGAGACAGAGCAGGGGCAGATAGTGAGAGCCAATCACTCACTTCTGAAGAAGCTGGAGTTGGTCACATAAATGACAGAGAGCCACAAAATGGTTTTAACTATAGGGAAAATATTTGGGGGCCTATGTTTTAGAGAGTTTTTTTGGCAGGAGTATATTTTAATAGGAAACCAGAGTCAATGCAGAAATTCATTTTTATATTTATTTACCTACTGATGACAAATCTTTTCTAAATTAAAATTACAGCTATAAGTAGGTTTAATTTTTAAAAATTTGTTCTTAAACAAGAGATCTGTATGTACCATGAAAAACATATACCCAGATAGAAATATAATATGTAATTCACTTCCTGCTTTTTAACTTAGTTGTAGATCTTTATTATCATATCTCCAGGCCATATCTAGAAAGATAAAGACCAGGTGTAAGCATGGCAAAGCAATAATTTAAGTTAGTATAACTGTACAGTTCCTTCCTTGAGACTTCCAATTCACAGCCTGATATAATTTTAATATTGCAGTCCCATTGGGCGTCACCCATAAAAATGTACTTGACTCATGATTTCTCTAATTTCTAAAGTTCTATGATTTTTTCTTCTTTTTTTGCTGATGGGAATTGAACAGAGAGTCTCACACATGTTAAGTACACACTCTACCACTGAACTATACCCCCAGTCTTAAAGTTCGGTGATTCTTATAGTAAGTACTTACCCGCAGAGATTGTTTCCAAAGAATATTATCAAGAATTTACCTCACACCACATTTTACTTACTTTTTATATAGTTCCCTGATTGTTTCTCTCTTTTCCCTTTCTAGTATATACTTCTTATTCATGAATAGCGTTAATATATTCCCACAGATAAAACCTTAGTCATGAAATAGATTTTGCTCATTTAATATTCTGATGAATGCCACCTGCCCTTTGGGGACAGGATGGCATGGGTGAAGAGCTGAGAACTTGGAAATCAAGCTGGATTAAAATCTCAGCTCTACCATTCTCTGTGTCACACTAGGCAAGTCACATAGGCCCTTGGTTTCCCCTCCTAGAAAATGGGGCCAGGGAGAGGTGTTAGCTATTATTTGTTTTCCTTTAAAACATTATCCATCTTACAAATTTAGGCTAAGTAAGTGGTTCATGTCAGATATTTTCCTGAGACGAAGGTATTAGCTTTAGAGCAGAAATAAGGCACCCTGTGAAAAATGCAGGCTGGAAATCTGATTTTGAGACACAGTCTCACCAAGTTGCTAAGGGTGACCTGGAAATTGCTATGCTTCCTGCCTCAGCCTTTCACCTGGGCTTGATAACAGGTGAGCACCACTACTCAGGCTCATCTTCCATCGCTTCACCCATATGTTTCCATTCTTCCTACTCAAAGCTAATTGAAAAGAGAAATTACTTTAAAGGCCTAATTGACTTTTTCTAGAGTAATTTTAAGTTTCCCACAGAGCTAACACAGGACCCTTCTATGCTGACTCTGATAAATGGGGGGCACCTCCTATAACGGGTGCTGTGAATCTCATATTTTGGAAAATGGCACATTCCAAGTTTGTCAATGGCGCTTGGTTCCGGAACTCCATTCTTTTCCTGTCAGTCCAACATGGCATCTCCTAAGCTGGCTTCCAAGCCTTCTTATTTCCTTAGGGCATAAAAAGCCCCTATGTCTAATGTGTTTTCTGGAAATTCAGATGCATGAAAATATTAATAAAAATTATGTGCTTCTCTTACCCCCATAAAAAAGGATTAGAAATAAGGCATTTTACTGGCTCTCTTTTCCTAGGCTTTAAAGTGCTTTGCTCAAATTTGGTTCCTTAGATCGTTTGTACCTATTAAATATCTAACTCAAATTGAATAATTCTGAATTGAAAGTTCCAATATTGATTGGAGAGCATTAAAAGTTAGTGGCAGTATAATATTGAGAGCATAGGATTTATAGTTGAATTCTCCTGTGTGTGTTATACTTTTATGTTAATTTTCACTATCAAAAAGATTATAGTTTACTGAATTGCTCTATAACATTTGTCTACTAAATATTGAACATAATTTTGTTTTGATCCTTTTTAAATAAATAAAAATATTTACTGTACATTTTCTGGTTTTTCTTAGCACCAAACACCAAAGATTTGGATGTTTTTCTTCGGAAACAGGAATCAGGGTTTGGCTTCAGGGTGCTGGGAGGAGATGGACCTGACCAATCTGTAAGTGTAAATACTTTGGAATATGGCCATTCCTGTTAAAATTTTTGAGTAGCAATTTGGTGAAATATGGTGGATTTTAAGGTTTTTTTTTTTCTCTTAATAATATGAGGAAGAACTGCATTTATATGAGTATCACAGTCCCCCAGTTAACCTGGTATAGTTTAGGGTAAAAACTGTAGGTAAAAACTGAATATGTCAGCTGTTCATTGGACAGTGATTATTTTCTTTGGAACTAATTGAAGTTTGTTTGGAGCGGAAAGTGTTAGCTTTTTGCCACTATGATGAATACCTGAGAAAAATAACTTAGAAGGGAAAAGATTTATTTTGGCTCAAGGTTTCAGAGATTTCAATCCACAGTCAGCCGGCTCCATTGCTCTGGGCCTGAGATGAGGCAGAACATGAAGGCAGAAAGGTCTGGTGGAGGAAAGCTGCTCAGCAATGGTAACCAGTAAGAGGTGGGCAGAAACAAAACATAGTCCCTAAAGCACATGCCCAATGACCCACTTCCTTCAACTAGGCCCCTCCCTAACCCTACAATTTCGCCATAGTCCATTCATATTATTAATCCATCAATGGACTGATCTATTGATAAGGTCAGAGGTCGCTTTCCAAAATTCACACCTTCAAACATTACTGCACTGAGGACTTACCCTCCAACACATGAGACTTTGGGGGTCGTTCTAGATCTAAACCGTAACACTGGGGATATAGCTTAGTGGTAAAGTATGTGCCTAGCACGCACAAGGTCCTGGTTTTCATCCCCAGCACCGGGAAGGAAAGGCTACTTTAACTTTTTATTACCTTTACCTTTGTTGAACAGATTCTAAAACATTTTTCTTCTTTAAAAGACCTATAATCCAGTGTCCTCTTTGCTACAACCACTCTACTTTCTGAATGCTCCATAGAAAGTTGGCATGAGCCTATGCATATTATTTCACCTAGTCTTGATATAGGGTAGGGTTTTCATGCTCAGTACTTTACATCATTTGTTAGCTAGAGGAATATAAAATAATTAATATTTCTGTCTAGAAGGCATAAGAGCTACATTTGCAAAGCATTTACAATCTAGAATTTTGTTTATGCATAATTCTCACATAAACTTAATTTTGTTTTTAAGTTTTGCCCTTGGTATTGAATGACAAAGAGTAAAGGATTACCTTCTTATACTTGGAAGCTAGATAAGCAATACTAATTTTTTTTATGACATTTCTTTCTATAGCTGAGTGGATCTCTTTTTTATATATATAAATATATTCTAACAGTCATATTGTTTATAATTACAGTAATCATTGGAACCACATGAAGCTTAAGACACCTTGCTCTGTATAGAGCAAACATAAGAAACTTTGTTTTTGATGGTATATGTATTTTTTATTATTTCCTTTTTTTTTCATATTCATAGTATTTTCTTAGACTTTTTAAGAATTTGTTTTTAACAACTCAAGAACAGTCTTTCTCTTAAATGTCAGGTTCTCCCAGGTCTGAAACTAGCCTAAAATTCAGGATTGCCTAATTATAGGAGTCTAATTATTGGTGAGCAGAATGAACCAGATATGCAAGTGGATACTAGTAGATGCAAGTGAGGAACACTTGTACTGTCAGTGATGGGAGAATCATAAAAATGATCCCAGTTGCTGTGAAAAATATGTAGAAAATTTTTCCTGACAGAATAATCAGACTTGTACTCTTAGTAGCTACTCCACAGAATTGCATTTTCTGAGTTTGCTTTGTTACATTGTGGTGATGGAGATCATGGTGCTTTTTAAGTTATTGAACAACTTCGTATTTTTTTTTATTTACTCAACTCTGAGAAGCTAGAAGGATTACATTATGCACTGTGGTTATTTGAAGTGCCATTTTAGAGAATGGGCACTTTCTAAGATATCACCTTTTTGAAATTGACTGAATTCATAGATGAACTGCAGAAGGTTGTTGTTTTGCACACTGCTGAGTCAGGGAGTCCTCAGATCTTCAGCTAACCTTGGTAGATAGTACAAACCAACCTACACTTTATCTTACCAGATATATATTGGTGCCATTATACCCCTGGGAGCAGCTGAGAAAGATGGCCGACTCCGTGCAGCTGATGAACTAATGTGCATTGATGGAATTCCTGTTAAAGGGAAGTCACACAAACAAGTCTTGGACCTAATGACAACTGCTGCTCGAAATGGCCATGTGTTATTAACTGTCAGAAGAAAGATCTTCTATGGAGGTCGGTGAATCGTTTCTGCTTTGAAAAGTTAAAAAAGAAACAAAGAGACTTAGTCTTCTTTCTAGGTGGCTTTGAAGGGTATTTTATTATATTTAGTAGTATATGAAATAACCACTTGGTATGACCAAAGACCCCATTGTGGAAAGCCATGTAAGGTCAAAAGGATCCAGAAATAATGCCATTATAAAAACAAGAAAAAGTTTTGGACCTCTTTAAGATTATATTGATATATTGATAAATTTTACCAACATAGCAATGCAGATCAAATGAGAGTTTAAATCTGGTTTGGTTTTGTTTTTGCAGTACTGGGGATTGAATCCGGGTCTCACACATACTAGACAAGAACTCTACTACTAAGCTGCACTCCCAGCCCTTTTTATTTTTTTTATTTTTTATTTTTATTATTATTATTTTTTTGAGACAGGGTTTCACCAAATTGTCCTAGCTGACCTCAAATTTAAATTCCCCCTGTCTCTGCCTCCCAGCTAAATTCTTTTTTTTTTTTTTTTTTAGTTACAGATGGACAACATGCCTTTATTTTATTTTTTTCATTTTTATGTGGTGCTAAGGATCAAACCCAGTGCCTCACACATCCTGGGCAAGTGCTCTGCCAACCCCAGCCCTAAAATTCATTTTTTTAGACAAATACAATTATTTATCAAGGTATCCCACTAGCTGAATATCAAAAGTTTTGGGGTCCTGAGGAAATCCCAGATATTCCAGGAAAGTGAAATTTTTCTACAAGAAAAGTTTTAGTATAATATAATTTAACATTTATTGGGTACTTACAATGTCCCAGATGCATAAGTTATTTTATTTAGTTCTCAAAACACTGTGTTGTAAATATTGTCATGAACTAGTTGTATAGTAGCTCACAGGAATATTAAGAGACACATAGCTGGTAGGGAGTAGGCTGGGATTAAGTTATGGTTTAATTGCCAAGCCCAGGGTCTAAACTATGACATTAGGATACGAACAACTCTTGCAGTTTTCTTACCAATAGCTTTGTGAATATAGAATTTTTAAAATAGAATTTTTAAAAGCAAATTCACTTAGAAAAAGACAACTCTAGCACAAGAAACCTTATGGATATATTTGTTCTATTCATTTAGTTTCTGCTGTATCCCCAGCACCTAATGCCTGGCACAGAGTAAACATCAGTAAATGTTTGTTAACTTGATGAATATTCATATAATTCTTTTTTGTTTGTTTGTTCCTGTTTTTTTTTGGGGGGGGGGGTTTGGTTTGTTCATTTGTTTGTTTCCACTGCTAGGAATGGAACCCAGGGCCTCACTGGGCTACACTCCCAGCTATTTTGTAACATCACTCTTAAAAAATGATTGCATCATCCAGCTGGGCTTGGTGATGCATACCTGTAATCCCAGCAGCCCGGGAGGCTGAGATGGGAGGATCTTGAGTTCAAAGCCAGCCTCAGCAAAAAGTGAGGTGCTAAGCAACTCATGAGACCCTGTCTCTAAATAAAATGCAAAATAGGGCTGGGGATATGGCTCAGTGGTCAAGTGCCCCTGAGTACAAAAAAAAAAAAAAGATTGCAACATCCAAAAAAAATGGTCCCCCCCCCTTAGTAAATATCAGTCATTTAGAGAAACACATAGAATGTAATGCGATTCCCTCAGTTTTGTTGTGCTAGAATTAGAGCTTATCTACATTCAGTAAGATCATGAAAAACATCATGGAGAAAGATGCATGAAGAAATATCATAGTAGTTTGGCATTATCAGAGACATTTTAACTAATTCATTCTAACCATACATTATGCAGGAATTTTTTTTCAGTGATTGGATATTGGTGGAATTATGTTGAGATTCTGAAACATATTCTTAACATCATATAAATTTACAGCCAAAAGAGACCTTAAAAATGTGTATTCCACCATAGTAGTATGTTGGGACTATTAATGATGTCCAACCAAATGATCACACAAAATAAGCCTCTTTTTTTTTTTTTTTTTTGCAAGAGTGAAAAGATAAGAATTTATTTAAGTGTGAAGAATAGAAATAGAACTCTTACAGAGGCAAGAGGGGACCTGATAGCAGGTTACCCAAGCCTTTTTTTTTTTTTTTTTAAATCAATTAGAACTAAATCATGTCATTCTCAGATTCCAGTGTCATCCTTGAATGGCAGAAAAAGATGTGAGTTAAATGCCCATTTTCTGGAGATCCTTTATGATCTTATGTGTGCCCAGCACAGTCTGCTGTTCATGTGCACAGTTTGTTATGTGCCCCAGAAAGTGGGGGAAAGAAAGACCAAGAACTGCTAATGATGAACTCATTTAATCTCATCAGATCAGAAACATCAATTGTAAAACACATTATATAAGGCAAATCCTGTGCAGATGGCAGACTGTTAGAATGGGACAGCATTTGTGTTCTCATGCTTTGACCAGACATTGATGAATATCGTCACTGAATTAATTTATATTTATAGTTGATATAAAAAGAAAGTTTATCATGTAGTTCCTTATTATCTACTTTTGTTAAAATAACTGGTCAAGGTTATAAACCTTGACATAACTAAAACAATTTCAAGAAGAATATTTTTACTATCAAACCTCACAGAGGCTTTGAGAAACTTTATTTAAAATGAGATAACACTAGATCATATATATTTGTCCAATATATACTTTAAGTATTTAGGGAGTCACATACTGTTGCTGCCTATATCTATACTCAGATTATACTCAGAACTCACATTGGGAGGCTGCTTTTGTATTCTTTGTAACTAGAAACTAAATTTGATTTGAGAGGCTTAGCAAAAATACTTTATTTACCAAAAATTATGATTTTCCAGAAATATCAAAACTAACCATATTTGTTGTAGAGAAACAACCTGAGGACGACAGCTCTCACGCCTTCATTTCAACACAGAATGGATCTCCCCGCCTGAACCGACCAGAGGTCCCAGCTAGGCCTGCTCCCCAGGAGGCCTATGATGTTGTCTTGCAACGAAAAGAAAATGAAGGTTTTGGTTTTGTCATCCTCACCTCAAAAAATAAACCACCTCCAGGAGGTAAGGGTTCCTATAATCATCTCTCCCTGTAAGTTTACCGTTCTGAGCCTCCCACTGGAATTTATAAGATTAATTAGGAACCATGTATAAATGTCCTTAGAGACTTATTTTTTTTTAAATAGTGAATATTTTTCTATTTTCAAAAGTAGGAAATTTGAACCAAATCTTCCAGGCTTCAGATTTATCCATCATCTCAGATTCCATAAAATAAGTCTCAGCTCAGTTTGTATCAAGATTGTACGAGTGACCTGATTTAATACATTTAAAGAAAATTGTTCTTTTTTTTTAATTTTTTTTTTAATTTTTGGGCACAGTGTTTTTAACTTAGAAGTCATGTGTGTAGAAATGAATTAAATACTAGAAGCAATTGAGAAAAAGCAAAACAGATTAATGGAATATCTATCTTAACCCAAATATGTCTTAGTTCTTTCATATTACTTAATAATAATTGCTATATTCTGGCTATAAATTGTTGAATGATAAGAGGCCTTCTCTCCTACCTTTCATATATATCTCACTAAATGCTAAACCTTTGAAAATTAATCTGAATATCCTGAACCAAGTTTAACAGAATTCTTATATCTGGGAAGGATGAACATGCACGCACACACGCTCCAGTTCCATCAACAAAGGAGGGAGTACATGTGGGAAATTCGGGACTGTTTTGATTCAGCAAATTAAATGTTTGTCTTGTCTTGATATTTCTAAGAAATGATAATCTTTATATATAATTATAAAATCCAATTGAATGTAAAATGAGAACCATCACATTGGTATATATTATGCTTGTCTGAAGGTAACTTTATTTTTCTAAGTCACATAATACAAATGTTGACCACATGAAAATATGCCCTTGCTTTTGCCAGTGGATTTGATTATATCTTGAATAGGGAGATCCTTATAGACTAGATGGTCATGAAAACCTTAGTGAAAAAAGAAAACACTTTCAGGAAATGGTTATGAGCCAAACCAATTTGCAAAAAAAAAAAAAAAAAAAAATTGGTAAAATTAATGCAAGTGTGTAAAGAAAGAAGAGTCTATGACATGGATGAGTTATTGCTATAGTGTCAGGTCACTGCTCACTGATACTAGTTTCCATTTTCTGAAAGCAGTTGCTATGGCAACACTTGGATCTGGAACTGTCACTGATGCTGTGAGGATGATTATGTGGCCTGTGTCAAAAAAATGAAAGGAAAGCAGCTTTTAGGTGGTTTTTGTGTTGTATCATTGGAAGTCAGTCTTTTAAAAAACAAATAACTATTTAGGATAATTACATTGTCATATACCATATAATAATCTCAGACATTTAACAAAAATAGTGAAAGATTATTACTCAGTGTCATAGATGCTAAACACTTCTTAGATTGTATTCCCTTACTAGCACTGCAAAAATGAGCAGTCTAATGTTTACCATAAAAATAAGTGATATAAAGGAATTCAGTGAAAACTTGTATTAAACATGTTTAAACATATTTTTGTAAGTATTTGTTTAGATTTAGCTTTTTAAATGTTTTATTATTAATGTTTTTTTTTACTTCAGTTATTTTGATGGTTTTGCACGTAGAGATGATCAATCTCTAAATAAGGTAGTGTCATTAAATGTTGGGTTTTGTAGTTATACAAACTTGTATTCAAACCCTGTGTATGTCTTTAATAATGATCTGATTTGGGGTAGGTTATTTACCCATCAAGAGCCTGGAACTTTAGTACATGTTAACTGATGCCGCCATTGTTATCATCATCATCATTATTTAGGAAATTTCTACTGGCTCTTGACCTGTTTTGTTTTGTTTTGTGAAGGCATCTCCATCAAACTAGAGGCTGGTCTTGAATTCATGGGCTCAAGCAATCTTCTCGCCTCAGTCTCCTGAAAAATTGAGACTCTAGTCTGCACGAACACATCTGTGACCTACTTTTTTAAAGAAATTTTAAAACATTTGTTGATTCTTAATAATGAGATGGGAACTAAAGCTCAATTAAAATGTACAATCAAGGCAGCAGCTAATATGTGGCAGGAAATGAGTGTTTGCAGTTCATTGATTATCAGTCTGAATGCTAAAATATGCTTAAGTTGTTGATAAATTTTATATAAAGTACCTGAGATTTTCTGTCATGCTGCAAAACCAGAATTCACTGACCTGCTAGTTAATAATCTCACAAAATGCTGACCCCTCATGCCTTCTTCTTAGAATGTCATTCATCTCATACAGATAGACTGGTCCTGGGGTGAGCGAGTATGAAGAGCTTTCCCTCACAGAGGCTGAGCAGTTGCTGCAATCTCTGTAGCAAAGAAGGTGTGGTTTACAAGGGAATTAGTAGCACTGGAGAGGCAGGAATCCTGTCTGTAGATTCTTCACTATGGACTTCATCTTAGAACTCTGCTCAACCAAGGTTACTTTCTTCTGAGTAAATGTATTTTCATCAGGTGATATACATCTCAGAAAGAGTTCCTCGTAGCATTTAGAAATTCTGAGATTCTCCCCTGTTGACTCTGTTGAAGACTGGGATCTGGGTTAGCGTCCCAGTATACCTCAGTGCTGAATGAGCACTGTGCTTAGAAAAGGCCTCTCTTAAGGTGAAAAAGCCCTGCTCATTTTCACTTTGCTAGTACTTGGGAGCTTTTAATGTTACTCTTATTGTATTGGTTTTCAGTTCTTGTTTGCAGAGGATTTCTTTAAGAAGGGGACATTTCTAGTTACTGTCCTTTCTGATCCTGAAAAGAAATGTTGAAGAGCACTAATGTGATCTTAGCAGCGAGGAGACAGACTGTAAGACAGATTGAGGCCACAGATGAATGAAGATGGATGAGGTGGCTTTGTGGTGAATGCCCTCAGGCTGTGTACACACCAAAACCAAGGAAGGGCTGGGGGTTATCCTGTAGGTGTGTGTGTGTGTGCTCTAAGGGAGCACCTGGCAATTCCAGTCCCAGTCCATTCAGGACCTTTCTGCTGGTCTGTTTGTGACTTTTAGCTGTTTTGATGGCACTGTTATAAATACCAAGACAGTAGCAATCTACTTTCACTCCCCTCACCCGGACAACCAACCCTTTAGGAGATTGTATAGTGCCGTTTGCCAATTCCTTTTTTGCCACATTGCTCGCATGATTAGATAGAGGACGGCTGAGACTTCAGAGGTTAATTCTGTTTGCTGCTTTCCATTCAGTGTGCCAAGAAGCTGAATAGTTTTCTTCTCAGGGAATCTAGAATGAACATTATGTACGAGGAAATCTTTTCTAAGAAGGAGAATAACTAAGAAGATTTAGAAGGTCATCACAGGGCCACCATGCTATTCACCATGTGTTTGTGATGCGCCACCTGTTGTACTGTTAGTGAATCCACTCATAATGCCTGGCACAGGACATGTCTCATACTGCACTGACATATTTCTAATCACTCTCTTTGCAAGGAAAATTGAATCTTAAGTGCTGGGTGTAAGTCAGAGCTAAAAGGCACTTGCTTCCAACATTGACTTTTTTCTATTTTAAGATAAAATCTCCCACTATATAATCTGAGAAGAGCCAAAGTACTATATCTGTAAGGACATAAATCATGACCAAGAATAACTTTTCCACTCCAAATGAGGCTCTATTAAAATGTCCCTAACATACTCTTAGATATGATTCAGAAAACTAGTAAGGAGTGGCATCTAAGAATATTAATTGTTCCTATTCATATCAATCAGTAGTCAACCAGAGCCCACATGCCTGATTAAGTTTATGACTTAGGCTAGGAAGTTCTCAAGAGACCCTGGAAGGAACATTTGTTCCAATACAAATGCCCTTTATCGCACAGTGGAAGATATTTTGTTTGATATGATTCCTGATTATCTAAGAATTTATTCTAAACTGTGATAAGAGCAAAGCATCTTGCCGGTTAGGCTCGGAAAGCCCTCAGTGTTCTGAGGTAGGAGTGCTGTAGCACTGCACAGAGTGTCTGCAGATATGTGAGACAAGGCTTTGTGTATTCAGAGCAGAAATGAATCCATGAGCCAAACAGTCTTAACCTTAAATATGTAATGTTCTAACTTCACTCAGCTTTTGACTTTTAAGATCTAAGGACACAAAAGAAATTAATTTTTTATAGAAATATGATTCATTTTAATGATCAGTCTTTTCATTGTACCTGGATTTCTGATCAGTAATTATTGAGTCCTAAACTTGAGTTTGATCTGCATTTATCTAAAAGGTTCCTTGTGGGAATAAGTGCCCCTTCAATAAGGCCAGAGAGAGTCTCATTCATTGTATCAGATTTCAAAATAGCTGAAAACTTGATAAAAGTCCTAATGGCCAACAACAAACAAGATGTCAGATCAGTGAGATATTATCAATATCAGTGAGGTCAGTAGCCCTTAGCCATGAAAATTAGGATTACGTTACAAAAATTGGAAAAAGACCAGGGATTGAGGTATCGGGGAGGGAGGGCGCAAGAGCTGTTATGGGTTCCAGAGCTGCTGAGTAAGCCTAATGAAGATGGCAACTTCCCAGAAGCACCAAGGCTTTGTGGGGAGCCTGGCCCCAGGGAAGTCCTGAACAAGAAGCTGAAGGAAAGAGGCTTGGACAAGGACTGTGTGGTCGTTGGCCACTTTCTGGTGCTAAAAAAAGGAGAAGTGGCTGGAGGCCACATGTGCTGCCAACACAAGCCACCCTGGGACTGCCCTGGGTGCCTTCCAGAGTGGTGTGCCACCTTCTCCTGTGCTCTTTGGCAAACCCTCAACTGCAGTGTCTATATCGTGTCTCCAGATGGCAGCCAGGTGGGACCCTGCCTGTCCTCTACCATGGAAAAGGTTGCTGTTGTCGTATCCAGCTCTGACATTCTCCAGGGCCTTTTTTGAATTCTTGAATTTTTGAATTCCAGCCTTTTTTGAATTCTCAGTCTTGCACACCCCTCCTTTGTCCCTCCCCTGCCAATTCCATGGCAATAGTTATCTGCTTTTCCGAGTGGATTCCTGGCCCCTTTGCTCACCTCCACCTTCACCTGTGGTCTGTTGGATGCCGTTTGGCTCATTTTTTGGCAGAACAGCTACTGTCATTGTAAAGTTTTTTAGATCAAGTCAGTGGCTTTCAATCTTAAAACAGTTTTCTGGTAAGTGGAAAACAGCAAAGAACTTTATCTCTGTGGTTATAACTATGTAAAGTGTGCATGTGGTCAGAGAGTGGGAGGGGAGTTGAAAATAGCTGCACTTGGATAGACAGTGATGTGGGGTGCTTCTTTGCTGTATTTTCAGAGAATTTCTTTGATGTTATATGTTGAATTTTTAAATTATGATTATGATGATGAATCCAACACTAGTAGTTACCTTAAATAATTGGAAAACTTGGGGATTCTTTCTCATAGTTATTCCTCATAAAATTGGCCGAGTCATAGAAGGAAGTCCAGCTGATCGCTGTGGAAAACTGAAGGTTGGAGATCACATCTCTGCAGTGAATGGACAGTCCATCATTGAGCTATCCCATGACAGCATTGTTCAGCTGATCAAAGATGCTGGCATCACTGTCACACTGACGGTGGTTGCTGAAGAAGGTAAGGAAGCCTAGGCTCACCTTCCCTGTGGCCGAGAGGCACAGCCTGCAGTGCACCAGCATCACTGCAATATGGAGCTGTCTGTGTGCTTTGGGGTCTCATTCTTTGCCTTTTCCATTTAATGGCTTTAAAAGACAGTTTATTATAAAGTTGTCAACAGCTTAAGAAAAATAACCCAGCTAGTGAGTGGTGGCCATTTATTTATGTGCTGGAGAAGCAATCACCCAAAAGAAAGAATGGTAAGACTTTTTAGATGTTATTTTCTTAAATAATGTCTTGAGTCTCTGCTTGAGTGAGAGAAAATCCTTCAAACAGTTCAAAGGAGGTCACTTCTGATATCAAGCCTTTCATGTCAGGGTCTTTCCGTGGGGGCAGGACTTTGTTCTAGCAGCTGCTTTATAAGCTGGGGATGGGGGAACGTGTAGGAATGGCTGGTAAACAGGGCATAAGACACAGACTGACCGTCCTTGAATAGTGTCACCCTTTGTTTAAAGCTTTTCTTTAATCATCAGGAATTTCTAATTGGGAACCATTTTGAACCAGTCCATGTTCTTTGTTTATGAATTACTAAGTGACCAGTGCGTCGTGCTCATCTCATTTTTCCTGATTTTTTCAAAACTAATGAGGAGAAGACAAAAACAGAACCATGAAAGGCCAGTCATTCATGTTAAGATTCCTCACACTGTGATGTTTATTCTTGTTTTGTTTTCTCATGACCCTCTAATAAAGTCAGTTCCTGGGTCCTTTATACTGCTTGATTCTTTCTTTCTGTGCCTGTGGCACCAACCACTCTCATACTTTTCTCTTTAGGGTATTATAAAGTCTTCTTTCCATTCAGGACACTGCGTTGGGGAGCTCTACATGAGCACCAGCTGCTCTCTGAGGCCCTTTCCAGTTCTAGGTAGGATCCCACAAATACTGGGATGCCTCTGCCTCTGCTCTTTCCCTTCTCTATTCTGTTCCCAGGCTCTGCCTAATCTCTGCTGATTCTTCCTTCTAAAATCTTCTTTCAGAGCCAAGTGCAGTATTGCATACCTATCATCCCAGGTACTCAGGAGTTGAGGCAGAGGGATACCAAGTTCAAGGCCAGCCTGGGCAACTTAGCTCTTTGAAGAGGGTATTATTGGCTGTTACACTTAGTAGGTGCTCAGTAAGTGTTTTTGAATGAAGGAATGAGTATATAAATGAATGAACAAATGAACAAAATAAAAGTCAGGAGATTTTACTTCTGTGCCATTTCCTGAACAGAAATGCCTGAACCTAATAGAAATAAGACTTGCTACAGAAAGAGTTTACGACCACCTGCTATCTAGTCATGTGACTTTAAACAGGTACTTAACGTTTCTAATCTTCAATTTATTATCTGTAGATGGATTTAATAATATCTATTTCTAGATCATTGCAAGAATTAAGGTGAAAATATCTGTAAACCATATAAATATCATAAGTTGCTGTCATTAGTTTTGACTGGCTCACTCATTCAGGTGTCTGCTTAAATCTCACCACATCTGGAAATAATAGTAATACTTAATAAGCACTTAGTATTCTTAACATATTAACTCATTTAATACAATAATACTAGGTAGGCATTGTGATTTTCACATCCTGGTAGAAAACTGTTGCAGAGCCATTAGAGATTACTTAATTATCTAGAATTATATAAGTTTTGTGTAAGATTCAAGTTAGAGATTTTTTTTTCAGTTTACTGCTAAATATTAAGGGTCCAAAACATTTAAGAAAAATTTTTTTGAATGAAAAAAAATTTAAATTATTTTGAAATGTTACTTAGACATGATGTACGTTAAATTTCTTTTTCTTGGTTTCTTTATCTGATCTCCATAGCCTGCATTTTAGCTGTAACATTTATTCTATGACTCATAGGGTAAAAGCAAACCTCTGTGCCACAAGAAATAATATTTCAGGGTTTTTTAAAAAAATGATATTTGCAGTGTGCTTATGTCTTCATGCCTTTGCCATGCAGTAGGCATTAAGTGATAGAAAGGGCTAGAAGTAACGGACTAGCAGTATAAGTTCAGTCATATCATCTATAGAAAAGGACTAGTGTTTTTTCCCCAATCCATCTCAGATCAGTATTTTTGTGAAATACAATAAAATAAAATCAAGTGAAAAATAAAAACAAAATAATCTGTTAAATTGTTGTAAGATTCATGAATATTTACACTCGGCATCCTGTACATCTTATTGCTGACTGACTGTCGTGAGTGGTTACTGCAGACTCTGAGTTGCAGTTACATTCAATCAAATCTATTTTATTAATGCTCCTCACACTTCAGACTGAGTCTACACCTAAGGGTCCCAGACACTCACCTGTGACATGTCTGAAGTCCGGGTTGCTGGAAGTCGATCTGAGCTGGAGGAGTCTGGTGCGGGGGGGGGGGGGGGGGGGGACAACAGCAACGGAGGTCTCATTCTTTCTGTCCGGGTCCTATTAGTCCTGTTGCCCCCCAGAAGTCTGGGTTTTTAAGTCCTAGTTCAGTGGTGCTTGCAGCTGGTAACTGGGTGAGGTCTGGGGCGTACACCCAGGTGTAGACTCTTTACATCATTAACTTAAGTCTATCTGAATTCTGCAATTTATCCAAGTATTGCAGTTCACATTGCATCGTGGGCACATCGCTTATCATAATTTACTTTTTCACTCACCACAACACTAATTAATATAATCAACAGTCAGCAATCCTATAATATTTCTGGTGCTCATGTCACTCGCCCACAAACCATACTTTGTAGCCTTGGGATAGATAGTTGAGTAGAAAGATCATTTCTTTCTCTTAGTATTTTTTCCAATATTAATATTAATTATTGATGGTGTCTGTTCTGAGGTCATCCAGAAATGCTCACTTTTCTTAAAGTAAAAGTTTCCTTTGACATTCTGGCCCAATACTTGTGGACTCAAGCTTTCATGGATGATGGCATTCACAGTTTGAGAGAAGTGGAGAAGGAAACTTCTTAGTAGATCGATTCTTAAAATACATTCAATGCGTAAGCACAGCCTCTTAAAATACAATCATATTTGACTTGTAAAAATCACATTTCAGTGATTACACAATATTTTATTGTACTGTAGGTTTTGATTAAACTTTGGAAACATTCAGAATCCCTTCTCTTTTTTTCAGGGAAAAATAGAAAGTCTGTCTTCTCTCCATAAAAATTTCATTCATGAGGTTTGTAAATCTTCCAAGTTTCTCATTGAATTCAGTATAAAACCTATCAACTGCACCACAGCCAAATGAATATTTGTAGCTCTAAAGCTCTTTTCAGATATCACACATTCAGATCATTCCTTAGAACTACATTGCTTCTCATCCAATACTGCTTCCCCGAGCCATTCACTATTAATAGGTAACAGGCAGTTTCCTGGAAAAAGAAGAACTATCATTCCCACCATCCTTTTTCCTTCCTTTTACTGGATACTATTTAGTATCTGTGCTGTTTTGCCAAGGAAAAGGCAGAGTAAGTCCCAGAAAACTCTCGAGCTAGGAACTCATGACATGATAACTCCACCTCATGGCATTCCCCACAGCACCCCATCTTCCTCCCCCATGGGACCTTGTTCTCAAGTATGGAACACAAAGTGACTATTCTGGTAGTTTCTCCTTGCTGTAAAGAAACCTTTGTGTGGTATTATTCTTTCAAATTGATTTCCAATTTTGTCAAGTGTTGTTTATTTGATTTTCAAGACTGAGCATGTTACCAAATGCTATCAAGGACTCATATTGGAGTGATTCTGGTAGCGTTGGCATGATTTGGTTTTGTTTCCCACTTATTTATTCCCACTTGTCTCCATATTCCACTCCTTTCTCTCACTACTCCCACTGGCAGCCATTCTAGTATGTTTTACATGCCTCATTTTTATTTAGGTATCTTTTGAAATACATTTTTATTCTGTGTTAGTATTTATTTTTGAGTTATATAAATGACATTGTGTTAGAAATTTTTATGCTGGGTTTTTTCCCTCAGAACCCTGTTTTTTTTTTTTTTTTCTTTTTAAAACAATATTTTGCTTTTCCAAGATCCAGTCTGGGATTCCTCCTGGCATTTAGTTGTCACGTCTTTTTTTTTTCTTCTTCTTCTTCTTCTTTTTGATTGAGCTATAATTTACATACTATAAAACTCATTTTCCTAACATGACAGTTTGTGCAGCCATCACCATAATTTCACAACATTTTATCCACTAAAAAGAAACTGCATACCTATAAAAGTCACTTCCCATTCTCCTCCAACCCCATCCCTAGGCAACCTCAAATCTACTTTCTGTCCCTATAGATTTATTGGCATTTCATATAAATAGAATCAAATAACAGGTGGCCTCTTGTGTTTGGCTTCTTTCATTTAGCAAAATGTTTTCCAAGTTCACCCTTGTGTGTGTGTGTGTGTGTGTGTGTGTATACACATCATTCCTTTTTATAACTAATGAATAATATTCTATTATATAGGCATATATTTTGCTTACTTATTAATCATTTGTTAGACTTTTGGGTTGTTTTCACTTTTTTACTACTGTGAATGATGCTGCTGTGAACATTAACATACAATATTGTACCAATGTACAGTTTCATTTTCCATGAGTATTACCTAGGAGTATTTGTTGGATCATTTGGTGCCTCTGTTTAACTTTCTGAGCAACTGCCAAACTGCTTTCCACAGAAGCTGCTCCATTCTGTAGTCTCACCAGCAATACATTGAGGCTCCCAGTTTCTCCATATCCTCTCCAACACTCATTTTTTGGTTTTTGGATTTTTTGGGGGGGACAGGGTGGGAAAATTGGTTGGTTGGTTTTCATTCCAGCCCTTCTAGTAGGTGTGAAATGGTATCCCATTGTGGGTTTGATTTGCATGTCCCTGATTACTAACGATGTTGAGTACCTTTTTGTGTGCTTACTGACCACCTGTTTATCTTCTTTGGAAAAATATCTATTCAAATCCTTTGCCCATTTATACCTCAGTTATTCATCTTTGTTGAATCATAAGACTTCTTTATGG